TTGATAATTGAATCAAAACCAAGCTTATGGATGATGAGGATCAGTTGGATTTTTTAATTTTACCAAAAGAAAATTTGCTTATTTTCCGGTTATTTTAATCCGTGATAATCCACCAAAAATGTCAATTTGGTTTTTTTCTGTTTTTCGGTTATTTCCTGATTTTGTTTTCGGGATACATTGTATATGGAAAGGTCACATTTTGGATCCTTTTATTTTTTTCGTTCGAATTTTTTTTCCGATCAAAAAAAAATTTGAAAAGATCAAATGAACAAAATGTGTATATTTCGACGATGGTTTTTTTTGTTCCAAATTCGGCAATTTGAAAATACGATAAGCTTGATGCCCATTCATTGATTACAAATGATGAATTGTATGAATGAATGAGATTCTAATTTTAGAATAACGGTTATTGTTCAAAATTCTATATAGAATTGTGATTGTGTGAACTATAGTTTCGGTTTTTGCTACTACCTCACTTCTGTCTTTTTTTTCTTCTAAATTCCGATTCTAATTCTATTCGAGAGTTGGCATGACCGAAAACAAAAAAAAACAAAGCAAACACATTTTCCGGCAAAGCGTTTTGTTTGTTTGCTGAATAAAAGCTGATATTTTTTTTGGATATTTGTGATCGAAATTGATTTTTTCCATCGAATTTTTCCTTGAAAATGTCTTCGGTAAATTTCAATAATGTTTTTTCAAAATCGATTCACTGACTTTTTACTTTTTATTTTAATCTGAATAGGATTCAGTTTGTACGATTCGAACAAGAAAATTCATGACAAATCGTCTTTTGTTTCGACGTCAGATGGTAAGTTTTCCGAAATGTTATTATCATCATCGTTGTTCAATCGATTTTTTCCCCTTGTCATTTTATGGCAGATTGTCGATATATCACATCCAAATAAAGCAACACCGGGTAAACAAGAATTACGTGAAAAAGTAGCAAAAATGTATAAAACAACACCGGATCTAGTGTTTTGTTTTGGTATTCGTACCCAATTTGGTGGTGGTAAAAGTACTGGTTTTGCACTTATTTATGATACATTGGATCATGCAAAAAAATTCGAACCAAAACATCGATTAATCAGGAATGGATTGAAAAAAGTGGAAAAACAAGCCCGAAAACAACGTAAAGAACGTAAAAATCGTATGAAAAAAGTACGTGGTACAGCTAAAGCTAAAGTTGGTGCTGGTGCACAGAAAAAGGTAA